ATTATATAGTTTTTGTGTGATTATTTTGTGCTGAGGATAAACTGACTTGTAGTGTTTGGCGTATTCTCTGCGCTGGAAGGCGTGTCCGCAGAGGAACGTGAAGGCGGAGCTGGCCTTGTTGTGCCGGCTGGTGACGCCCTCCACCTGTAGCTGCAGGTGCAGATCCAGAGGTTTCCCAGCGGTCAGGTCGGCGAGCGACGCGTTTCTCCGGAAAGGAGCGGACAGGAAGCTGTAGGTCTGAGTACCTTCATCTGTCAGCAGGCTGTCGGAGCACATGGTCTCAGCGATGAGGTTACCCCTCCGCTCCCTCTCCAAGGAGCACAGCAGGGAGGCCTAAAGGGGTGGGCAAGGTGAGTGAGGGGTGTCACCACAGTTAGGTGAAAATCCTTCATACGGTCTTAAAAAAATCTGAATTTTCTGTATTTGTTTAAAATCATTTACAGATTTGTTTATGTTTTAAACAGGTCTAAAGASTTGGCTCACCTGAACTTCCTCCCACACCGGCATGTTCTCCAGCGCCACCCCCAGGTCGCTGGTGTCCACAGCCTGGCTCTCCCTCTTGTAGAAACCAGGGTTTCGGATGCGGCCCTGCCTGGCTGTGAAGCTCGTTGGGATTTTAAAAGTGCGGACGGTGATGATTTTCATTGGCTCCAGGTGTCCGTACACAAAGTTCTTCTTCATGGGTTTGATGAGTGGACCGGAGCAGGCGCCGATCACCTGCGTGCAGGAGCTACCTGCTGAATCGTCCTCAGTCAGAGTCCCCAGGCCCCGCCCCCTCCCTGACCTCTGACCCTGACCTCTGCCTGCCGCCGCTTCCCTGCAGCCACCCATCTCCATGCTGAACATACGCTCCCAGGCAGTGTAGTTTTCCAACAGATCGGCGTCCACCCCTGATGCCCTGGCGAGTGCCTCTCTCTCCTCCTGAGTGAGCACCGGCTGACTTTCAACCTCAAACCCATCCTTACTTTCATCCTCATCCTCCTCATCCTCTCTCTCCTCAGGGAGGTGGAAGGGGAGCATATTAATCGACTCCCACAGGCTTTCCCTGGCTTCTTTGGCGGCTGCTATTTCTGCCGCCTCCTTCTCCAGCGCGGCCTTTTTCTTCCTCTCCTTTTCCTTCCTCCGTTCCTCCTCCCTCCTCTCTTCCTCCCTCTCCTCCTCTTCCACGCTCTGGATGAGCTCCGGGAACAGCTTCTTCATCTTTATGGCGTGAAACAGACTGTCCTGGTCTTTCAGGGCCAAGGCCAGGTCCAGGTATCCTCCCGGCTCTCGCTCTCTCAGCAGGTTTTCGTAYAGCTCGGTGTTCGGGTGGGAGCGGGCGTCATTGGCGGGCCAACGGTTCCACTCCATGGAGCAGCAGACCACGCTGGCCGGACACACCTGGAGGTGAGCCGCCTGCGAGGAGCGGGCCAGCTGGACGGGGCAGCCGTACTCAGCGTTGAGGCAGGGCACCCTCACATTAGGGCAGAGCAGCAGGTGGTCCTCCTCTTTGCACAGGTGGAAAACAGCGCCGCAGAGCAGGCGGCAGGGGACGACCGCACAGCTAGAGACCTCCACCCGGGTCCTGCAGCGCCGACTGTAGCAGGAATCACAGTGGAGATGCAGCCGAGCCCTGGAGGCCCGAGAACCATGACTCTGGATAGAAACCATATGGAAGAACAAACACACACTAACCTCTGCTCTTTTATAAAAACAGCTATAAACAGTTGGGGTGCAACGATACAGAAAATTCACGATTTGGTTCGGTTCGATACTTTAGTCTCACGGTTCAATATTTTTTTGACACCAATAACTGAAATTTCCATGCCCTTTTTAACTTGTAATTTCTTGAAATTATTTATGAACATTTGTTTAACCTCATCAGTACTGTTTTTAAATTAAACTTAAACTTATATTTTGCTGAAACAGTAAGTTTCTTAGCGGATCTGCGCTCAAAAATACAGCCTAGGTGGAGTAGTCGAACACAGATCCTCTGATCCTTCAACACAGAGCATCTTCAGAAGACAAGTTTATAAAATAATTTTTATAAATCTGTACTGTTTGATACAAGTGTGTATTGAACCTAAAGCACTGTGTTGAATGGTTTGATACGGGTACATTTATTGTTGCACCCCTAACAAACAGATGTCAGGCCAAAAATAAAAGTCATGAAGGGTGAAAATCCACATATTTTTTTATCATATTGGTGATTGAGTTGTCCTTAAATGAAAAATTTGTAACCAGAACTACTATGTGCATTTATTTACCTATGAAAACATCCAAAATGATAGGTCAAACATTAATGTAAATCCGTCACATGACTCAAACTTCCACCTGGTGTTCGGCAGACTCATCTGAGTGTTTTGTTTACATTGAATGTGGACCCACRTTTCAGAATTTCATCTCAATATGTCTGGAAAACTCCAGAACACTTTTAAACTGAGTTCAGGTTCAGGATAACCTTATTCATGTTTATTTTTAGGCTTTGCGATGACTACCTTTAARCAAATTCCAGATAAAATGATGCAAAAAAAGTGTTAGGTTTGTTGTTCTTTCCTTCAACTCTGACTAAAGGACACCAAGTTTTCCTTTTTACAACAAAAAACATAAATACAGTTGTTATTGATTGCTTTGACCTGTTTGAAGAAACTGGGAACCTCTCATCATCAYCATCTCAGCAGAGCAGAAGACMCCTCTTACAATGTGTTAACCCATTCTCATTGACTGACACAGTTTTCCACCCTTTTGCAAAACAGTTAACGCTGATGTCATTCAAGAAGTTCAAACTCAGTTTCAGCAACAGAAAYCATCTGCTCCAAGCTCTTAGAAACTCCCTGATCARTATGAAATCACTGAAAGCCCCTGTTTRACCTTTCTTCACAGAATTTTTCAATTTGCAATCAGTCTGCAGGCCTGAGTTGTTCTCTGATACTCTTACAGTTTTTATTGACTGGTTTGACGCAGCCGTCAACTCAAAAACCACATTTTCAAAACAGTTAAAGCAGAGGCCTAGACATTGACACAGTGGTCAAAATGAGACATTTTATTTGCAAAAGGCAACAACTGTGTCAAAACATTTAAAATATGAAACATGGGCAAAAATATGGGCAACAAAATACAGCACTCATGTGAATCACTGCACCATTGCTTGTCATTGTAGCCTATGACTGTACGTAGCTTACATGCCAGTGCCGTTTGTAGTCAAATTTGCCCTCTTGCAAAAATGCATCCAGAATAGGGCTGTGTATTGGCAAGAATTTGGCGATACGATACATATCATAACAGAGGGGTCACGATTCGAT